TACAGTCCCTAAAATAAAAGTCCCTGCAACCACCTGAAACCAGTTTAAGGTGCTGCTTATCTAAGTTTGTATCTTGCTGGTCTCTAGCTGTCAGTTTGAAGCAAGCAGTTTAGTGGAAATGAACATCAGTAACTGGGCCAAACTTATGTTGATAGGCATGTTACAGATGAGCGAGATTAATTGAGTGGTCAAACAAAGGAAATGTGAGGTACAGAAATTACAGGTCTGACTGGCAGTGAGATAAAGCTGAAGCGCAGTCCTGTATTTTTTCACAGGAAGAGTCTCAGACAGCTTCCTGCCTCGAAAAACTGATTTAAAAAATATTTTTTAGTGCATTTTATTCCTTTATTAGACAGCCAGTAGTAGAGATAACAGGAAATGGGGGGGCGGGGGGGGGGGGGCAGAATGACATGCAACATTGAGTCCCCAGCCAGATGCAAACCGGGGACATTGCGGTTCATGGTCAGAGCCTTAAACCCACAGGCTGCCAGGCTGAAAACAGTTTTAAAGATTTTCTTATCTTTTAGCAGAATTGGGTTTTATTGCATGCTGTTGAACATCACTGAAAGAAAAACTTAAACAGGGTTAAAACAAAAAATATCAGAGAACACAAACATGTTTTAGAAAGTGATATTAACAAATGTTTAATTCAGGAAACTTATGTTCTCCTGCTGAATCAGAGAGAAAACCAAACTGAAGAGACGGAAGAAAATAGATGACATGAATTCTGTATGAATGGAGCTTCCTGACCTACATGGAGTCAGTCTGCCAAGTCAGTCTGTCTGGTAGACGTGAGTTCACTAGAGGGCAGACTTGGCTTTGAGCTTCACCACAGACTATGTACAGCCCTCTGGAATTATTGCCAGAATAAACACTCGGTGAATCTTGGTGAATTTATCCTCTGATATTTAATTTGGGGTTGTGTCTACGTAGACTCCGTCTGGTCTGCTGCTCACTCCCAGCCCTCTACTCTCCAATATCCACTTCTGGTCCAGCCTGAGCCCAGTGGGACCTCTCAGCCCCGCCCAACTTCAGACCCATGCCCCCCTCTTCCAGGTATGGCTCATACACTTACACAAGCATATACAAGCCTTTAATCCTGTTCCTGGCTCCCCTACCTGCCTCAACTGAATTTAAACTCAGACCTCACACAAACCTCATCATCAGAACTTTTGGCCGGTTCCAACCACAAGAAGATGAGATGGGCTTTATGAGTATCAGTGCACTCTTTCACATAGAAGTTTTTATTGTGGGAGGAATGAAAAAGTCAAATCCTTTCTCACCTGCAGCCACTTGGCCAGGCGCTGATTGTTGGTTTGTCAGTTTCAGAAAGGACACTGTCGCATACAGACGCTTAGCCCTGGTCTCACCTCTCTGACACATCCACAAACTAAACACTCCCAGAGCCACAACCACAGCATTTCATATAATTTAAAGATTAGGGACCTTTTGAAAGATTAGATGACACTTTTTTTTAAACCTTTTCAACTTCCGTTCCAACTTGAGGAGGATGGTAAAATGTAGGTGGATCTCTCTTCGGTATATTTGTGAACTGATATGGTTATCTGAAGTATAGGACTGCAAGAAAACTTAAACAACGTACACACAAGCACAAACACGCAAGGTCCATCTTTTCTCTCTGCAATGCTGCAAAACATTTTTATGGATAACTTCGTAAAGTTAGACTGACTGATGGCCTCAGTTCTGACAGGCCTATTTAAAACCCATCGGCCTTTCAGAGAGCGCTCTGGTTTCCTGTGTCGGTGCCTGATATAAAGTCTCCGTCAGCCTATAAACTCTGTCTATTTACAGCTAATCCCCGTCTCATAACTACAGGCTCTTTGTAGTCATTTCACACTGCCGATTTACCTCCACAGTTGTTTTCACAGTTGTGTGTTTTTTGTGTGTTTGTGATTCACCGCGTGCCAGGGTTTCAAAATAAGCTGCAGATGTTTCCGTTCTGGTGTGGACAAGAAGAGGGGGCAACTTCCTGTTGGCTCGGGCTCGGGGGGGTGGGGGGTGGGGTGGGGGGGGGCAGTGGTGGTCAGGAGCCCCTCCCATGTCAACTCTCTGACAAACACAACACACACACACACACACACACACTCCTCCAGTGATAAACCAGCAGCTGTACAAAATACAGAAATCATTACTATTAACATTAGCCAAGTAGTTTGACTACTTGTTTGTCATAGATCAAAAAAATTATCTACTTCATGTTTTAAAAGATCCTATAATTTAAATCAGTGTAAAGTCACAATGAAAAAAAAACATTTAACATTTTAATTCTCTTTGTGTAGAATATAAACTTTAACTCCTAAAACTGACTCATTTTCACCAGTATTGTCTAATTTTTTTACAAACCAAAAGTTATAAACTTAAGATGCTTTAATCATGTGACTAGTTCTTCACACAGGGACTTTAACAGTCATCATAAAAACAAACACAAAGACAATTAACATGGGGGCAAAGGTGTCACTTTCAAATGGCAAACCCAGCTGTAAAAATCCAGGTGTGATTTTCATTTCAGCCAACTCAAAATGACAGATGACACAAAAATATAAATGTATAACAAACAATAAAAAAACTATAACTGTCTCCCTGCAGTTCCCCTCTCTGCTGAACGGACCCATCCCAGTGCCTTTACCCAGTGTGGACGCTCCATCTCCCTTGCTCCTGTCCCCCAGCTCCCACAAGTCCTGATGCCAGCCTGAGCCCCATTTGAGAGACCTGGGCCAAACCAGACTGAGCTGGTCCAATTCAGCACCGATCAGGACCGAGCCAATCAGCCTTAATCTCTGATGATGAACCACATTGGAGTCTGATTATACTTTGACCTGAAACCTGTTTCTTTACATTTATTATATGAAGAAACAGGAGCTTCACTCTGAAGCTTTGCTCTCTGAGAAGAGTGTTGGACATTTCTTTGTATGTTTACTACAGTTTAATTGTGTTTGGTGTTTTCCTCTTTTCGGGATGTCACACTTCTCATTTCGTTTCATCTCATCTCATTCCACTTTAAATGTCAGTGATACAGGCTGGCTGCAGTTTCATGAATGTTATTACTATTTTTCAACTCCTGCATCTGACTAATCTCTGAATCCACATCTCTGACTCAAATGATGGGGATCTGTGGAAATCCTCAGAAAGGGTTTACAAGTAATATACGGGCAGAAACCTAAAAGACTCAAGTTCAGCTTCTTTACATATGATTTTTCACCATGCTATGCCATGAGTTAGCATTATCTTCTGAATGTCTGAATGACTGATATGATGCTACAGCCACAAGACAGTTAGCTTATGTTAGCATAAATAAACAGCTGATCTAGCTCTGTGCAAAGATAACAAAATCGAAGTTACTAAAACCTTACTAATGAACACATTCGCATGAGAACTGGTGTAAATATCACAGTTTGTGATTTTACAGAGAACTGACTATTGCTTTGTCAAATTTATGGTGATGCTTAGAAGAAATAGTTCAGCACATAACCATAACCTAAAACCACAACCTATGACAAACCCTTTGGTTTTTGTGAGGATTAAACAGGTGATAAAATGACGTGTTGGTAAGCTAGCCGTTTCCCCTTGATTCAAATCTTTATGCTAAGCTAAGCTAATCAGCTTCTGGCTGTAGGTTTATATTCACTGCACAGAGTGGTATCATCTCAACTAACTCTCAGCAAATAAGCAAATAATTCCCTAAATTTCCTTTAAATTTGATCATAAAACAGGACCGTGTCTGGATGATTAGACGCTACGGGCTTCATATGCCAGTACAGAAACTTTGCTATGACTGATAGAAAGTAGAGGATGATGATACTGTATTTTCTCTCTGCGCATTTCTTTAACTACAGCAAATCTCCGGTCAACAGTCAATCAATGACTGTGGCTCCTTTATCAACCTGCCTCAACAAATTCCCCCAGAAAGACGCTGCAGGTCTCAGGATTGTTGTTCAGGTATTTTACATGGATCTGGATTTTTTGAACTCGACATGTGGCCAAATGAGACGAAACCTTCACCGACCCCCAGCAGAGCGCCTGCAAGCTAGCGCGCTAAAATGCTCTGGAAGTCCTCATCTTGTCTGATGTATTGCTTTGACAAGTGTACATGACGCTGTGAACTTTTTCTCCTCTTGTAGTTTCATGCTTTTTTTTTTTTAATGCACTGTACTTTTATGCCTTGTACCAGCTGTGCCTTTGATATTGTAAGATTTATGTAAATGTATTAAGCTTTAAACAAAGTTGTAATAGACATTCCAGGTCAAAATTGCACAAAAGTTTTTTTTGTAAAATGACTCCTGGTTATTTTTATAAAGAAGTTAATTGAAGTGTATTCTCTGTGATTTGCTTGTTTTTGCTGATTTGTTGAGAGCAAAAGTGTTTTTTTTTTGGAATAAAATGAATTACTTTTCAGACTTACTACATTGATTTTAGTTGATTAGACACTCAAAGAATGACCGCTGCACAGACTGTTTATGAAACAGATTAAATTTACTTTCAATGGTTATGAGAAATAAATAGTTCCAGTAAAAAGAGTCACACATCAACTGTTCACCGGCAGCTCAGTGTTTCAGAGAGGTCGTGTTCACAACACAGCAGGCCTTCCATGCATCAGGCACGCACACGCTCACATACGCACACGCACGCACAAGCACACACACACACACACACACACACACACGTTCAGACATGTTCACATAAATTCAGGTCATTCACACATTTGAAAAAGTACAGTTTTACAATGACAAATATTTAGCCACTTTAGAAATCTCCTTTCATGCATGTTACTGCTGTTCGTGTACAAAAAGTCTTATTAGCAGAAACACAGTTTGCAGTTAATAGTGGAATAATCCTGAATATTTATGTTTTAAGTGAAGCCTCCGAACAGGTAGAAACAGTAGGTGTGATACAGAAAAAGGTTTCCTCATTTTAAAGCTACCTAAGGAAAATCTGTGGCTCAGTGTAACACACGATGTCTACAATTAATATGAGTTAATTAATTAATGAGTTTTTTTCTGTGAACAAAATCATTGTGACATTATTTGAAATGCAAATTTACAGTTTCTTCCATTTGTATTTGCTCTGTTGCCACAGTTTGTGTTGAGCTTTAATTTATCAGATGAGTTATTGAGCTTCTGAAAATAAAACTTTCATCCATGTTGAAAGGAAAAAAGAAATGACAAGAAACAGTGTGTTCACAGGATTTTTACACTATTAGCTGCAAACTGTGTTAAAGTTAATGTTTGTTACATTATTGATCCCAGTTATTAATGAGTTTATCAAGCATTAGCAGTGCCTCCAGCACTTTCCTAGTATGTTCTACCCAATTAGAGAACTCTAGAGATGTTGCTCTGATAAATCCTTTAAATCTCAACAGACCAAGTTTGAAACTTTCGTGTAGATGTTGAACAAAAGAGCTGCAACAACAGAAAGATCCTCCTGTTCAACCTGTGGTGATCAGTGCATCCCTGGTGTTATTTAGTGCAGATGATTATGCACTTAACTCACTTCTATTGTTTCTTCTCCTGCTACAGTGAGAGTAGAAACTGGTCTTTGCCTTTTCCAGAATGCATTTCTACAACAACTTTTCTTAATCTTAGTTAAATAGACCAGGAATGCAGAGCACACCACTGTAACAGTGCATCAGTAAACATGCAGTCAAAAGTGAGACTTCTCAACCGGCTGCATCTGTAGCATCACTGTCAGTTGCAAACAACACAGCGGGCAGTTAAATCTTCAATTTCAATTTGAAATCTTTTTTTTCTCTTGTGTACAAATGCTGGAGACAGCAGTGGTCCGACGCCGAGTGGAAAACAACCAGTTTGCTTTTCAACATCCCACCTCCGAAAAAACATGCCACAATGACGCTGTTGTTTCACAAGGAGAGGTCAAAGGTCACAGATACAGAGTACACATCCTAATACTGTTGGGTAAACTCGGCCGTGTCGAGGCCCGGGTCCCTGATTCCAAAACAACACACTGAAGTGCAAGTTAAAAACAAACAGTTACTGCAGTGAGATCAGAGCGAGAAGGTGAAGCTTGGTTTTTGTTTTTGTTTTTTTTGTTTTTTTTAAAAAGCACTGAAGTCCTGGCAGTTTAGTGAGGGGTTTTACGGAAGGCTTGCTGGCTTCCTGTGGGACGTCACATGACTTCCTGTTCAGCTCCAGTATTCCTCCTCTTTCATCGGTGCTCTGTGCTCATCTTCCCCTCCTCCTCAGGTTTGGTCCTGTTGCTGAGCCAGAGCGGTTGAAAAGAACAAAAGAACCGACAGTTGGTTTCGTGTTCTCTAAGTCTGACTGCACTGTGTGTGCTTCTTTAACCCTCAGCTTAAAACCATTAGTACAGTCCACTCACAGTCCTGCTTTGTGAACCTCAGTGTAACCCCCCGAGGCCAGCAGGACCTCTCAAAGAAGAGTCCGTCTGAAATGTTTTGGAAAAATGACGATGGGAAATCCAGAGGAGCCGTTTCTTCCTCAACCAAGACCATCCAGTCTTTCTAAACCTGGAAATGCTGTGGAGTTCAGTCACGGAAGCTCGAAGAAAAACAAAACATAAACTCCAAATATATATATATATATATATAGATATACATATTTATAAAAAAAAATCTGAAGAAACTGAAGCGTTCGGTCTCCAAGCACGACAACAAGAACAACAACTTGGATCACAGCGTCGACATCAACATCAGTGGAATTCAAACGAAGCCAGACAATCGTAGTCAGAATAAAAACAGAGTAAACCTCACTGACTGCTCAACTGTGCACGGCGTCTCGAGTTCACATCATGTACACACACGCACACACATGCACACGCACACACACGCACACACACGGTGTGTTAAATACAGACAGTAGTAGTTTAGCAGCAAAAAATTCAACCTCACCCTGCCCCCCCTAATAAATAAACACAGTCTCTAAATAGATTCAACCCAGAGTCACTCGCTCAGAGGGGTGTGTGTGCATATTTATGTGTGTGTATGTGTGTGTGTGTGTGTGCGTGCAGGTAGGGGGGGGGGTCACTCTGAAGGGAGGTGGGCTCATGCGAGAGGTTGGTGGGAAGTGATGATGAAGTTGGGCAATCGACCATCCTCTTCACTGAGTGTTAGAAAAGCATGCTCTGCCTCCTGTTGATCTTGCCGTTACCTGGAGGAAAAGGGAAGATTTGAAAAATACAATACCCATAATGCCTTGTTTCATATTAACAACGCTATTGTCTTAGGGGACCACTGATTTCGCACTTCAAACCTCCTATAATGTCACCCACCTGACTCTGGGTATGAGGAGTTCCTGTAGCCAGGGTCTTTCTGCAGCTGCACTTCTTTTAATGTGAATAGTGAGACACCTGTAAGATAGAGGAGAGTTACAGTCTACAGCAAATAGTAGGAAAGTAGAAAAAGGCAGTGAGAAAGTCTAAGACAGACAGACAGACAGACAGACAGACAGACAGACAGACAGACAGACAGACAGACAGACAGCTTTATCATCTTATGCCTGTGCTTACTCTCCGGCAGTGTGTGGACTCTCATGCCCAGCTGCCTGAAGTAGGAATGTTTCATGGCCTCATCGGCTGAAATCCTCTTCTTGGATTCATACTGTGGAGACAGAAACAGGAAATATCAACCACCCAGTGATTTCAGCAGATAATGCTGTGTTGGGTTGTTGTGTCTTCGGTCATGAAACTGCTCAGACAACAGTGACAGTGATGTGCCTCCTGCTGTCTACAACTGGTACTGAAGCCGCTAACTTCTCCAAAATAAAATCTGAGCAGCTACAGCTTTTTATTCCTCACAGTTTTATCATGACAGAAAAAAAACTCAGCTGTTTGTCGATAATTGATTACAAATGTTTCAGGGAAATAGACAGTCACATGTTTCATTACAAGCAGAGAGCTTAAAATAAAAGAAATAACAACTATGAGCAAAACTCAATGAAAAAAAAGTCCATTCTTGATAAAAGCTCATAATGATTAATGATTAATACCACTAATAATTATTGTAATTATGCTTATGCTGATTATTACATGTATGTTTGGAATTTGTAAATGAAACCACATAACACTAATAAAACATCTACAATGTTTATAATAATCTATATATAAAATAATAATAATAATAAATAAATATATATAAATTATCAATAGTAATTTTACTTAATTTATATTAAACTTAACAGTGCTTCAAACTGAAAGAATAAACATTAGGTGTGAAATCAGCTTGATAAATCTGTTCGGAGTGAAGTGCATTCTGGGCAATATAAAGGAAGTAAACACTCACTCTGAGAAAAGCCAGCAGCAGCTCGATGCCTTCACTGTCCAGCCTACAGGAGACAAGAGGAGAGATCAGTTACTGTCTGCCTGTAGCAGCGGCTGATGGGAATCTAGAGGCTCATGGGAGGAAGGAAGTGGACAGTCGTCTCTGAAATGTTCCACAGGATTTCCTGTCAGTAGTTCGCACACTCACTTACTGCATACATGGGTGCACAAAAAACAAACACAAATGTACACACAAGCGCGTGAGGCCCACAGACACACAGACACACACACACAACACAGTACCTGGGAGCGTGGTTGATGAGCGGCTGTGGTTTATATTTGGGGAAGTTGTAGGATTTGAACTCTTCGATGGAGGAGATTCCCGGCCACTTCTCCTCTGTGGGTGTGCCTGAAGTCACAACACAATCAATGCAAACCAGACTTACAGTATGTTTCCACCTTCAGCTAAATAGGTAATTTTGTGAGGTGAAACACTTATGTTGCCATGGTGATATGGTCTGGCAGGAGTTACTCACCCAGTAACCTGAAGATGAGGTGGAGTTCGTCCTCCACGGTGGAGCCAGGGAATAGCGGCCGACCTGCAGCCATCTCATAGAATATGCAACCCACGCCCCTGCAGACACACAGTCAGAATATCATCAGATTATCATTTTTTTGACTATAGTGGTGTTAAATAAAACTGCATTCATTTATATTTTGACCACTTCGGGTAAGCGGAACAAGCTGTAAACAAAACACTGACAGATTATTACATAGCATTCGGTTTACCCTCCTTTTTCCCGTGTTGGTGTCCAACAACTACTGAGGGAAATATACCATTTTAGTGGATAAATGTTCCACTATGTTCAGCAGCTAGCAAGATGTTAACTTTGTGTATCTGTCGCTAAGTGTTGGGCAGGTGGTACACAGTGGGTTTCTGTGGGTTTTTCAGCTGCTGCTACTGGGCGCAGGGCTGATGGGGGCTGTGAGAGTCAATCAAAACAGCAAAGCCACCGTACCGTAAAAACAAAACATTGAGCTTAAAGATGCTGAAACACTCTATAGAGCTGAGGGAAGTTTCAGTCAGGTGATAACTCTATGTGGGTTTGTAAATACAAGTGGCACCTTTAACAATGCCTCGAATGGCTGTGTGTCATGTTAAAGGTCTCACATTGTATTAAAGTGGAAAACCCCCAGCCGTCAGGACTTCTGTAACTATGTGATGTCACAACAAAGCTGACTTGTTTCTAGAGCTCCAGAGAGAAGCCTGAGACAGGAGATGTAAAACCACACTGAAATGGTTTTTGGAATTTCAATCCAATTGTGAGGCTCGTACCACATGTCGATCTGTGTTGAATACTCAGAGGATCCCAGCAGAACATCAGGGGGCCGGTACCACAGAGTCACCACTTCGTTTGAGTAGGTTTTAGTTGGGACAGACTTTGCCCTCGCCAGACCTGCCAACCCACCGCAGACATATACACACATTAGGATTCTCACACGGGAGAGAAGTATTACAAAGGGAAGTAATCAAATGAGTTTTCATACAATTATCAAGTATCCCTTCAAAAACATTTAGGACAACAGGAAAGCTCCTGCTCCTCCTCTCTTACCAAAATCAGCCAGTTTGAGTTCTCCTCTCTCATTGATTAGGAGGTTCTGGGGCTTCAGGTCCCTGTGGAGAACTTTCCTCTTATGACAATACGACAGCCCTCGCAATATCTGGAACAAGAAGATCTGGAAAGACATGAGGAAAACATCTGATGTTATTAATATGTCCCAAACATACTTTTTTTTAATCCTTCAGTGGTCTAATTTGTTTAATTTCCCCAGTTTTTCAGATGAGATGGAAACACAAACAGAAATGTTTAATAGAGACTTTTACTCTCTGAGTTAAGTTCCTGGAACCATTTGATCAAAAGTCCATTAATTAGTAAAAGTGTGTGTTGAAAATCTGCTCCTGCCAGAACAAAATGGAGTCTCATTTTATAACAATGACTAACTGAAGAAATGCAGAAAACGGAGGAGAAAGCACACAGGATGTTTTTTCCCACAGAAAGGGGAAATGAAATAATCAGTAACAGCTCTATGATTGTTCCCACCTTCACATTGTGCATGCTCATTATGTTTCCACAGTCGTCCATGTACTGCTTCAGATCCTTATCCTACAGGAGGAGACGACAGCGTCAGACAGACGGTGGATACAAAGACACCCAGACAACATCTCTACAGTGTTTTAAAGTTTTACACTCCTTCTCTTTTCTCACACACACTTCACCTCGTCAGTCTGTTTTACACAGTATATTGATGCGGCAGATTGTTCCTCATAAAGCAGGACTCTATGTTAATGTTTCTGCTCCTTTCCTTCATTATCTTCCTGCTAGAGATGAAACGGTTACCAGTTTCATGCTATATCACGGTAGAATTGCCAGGCGGTTAGTATTATCGTTTAAATTTTAATCATCACTATAACCTTAGCCGATTACCATTGTTTATTACTGTGGTTAATTTGACTCACGTTAGGTTCTGTGCGGTGAGCAAGGCGGGTTTGTTAATGTGTCAATCAAAACATGGCGGAAGGCGTTCATCTATATATATTATGAAGATATTCACTCTCTTGTTGTTCTATTCTGTTTGAAACTCAATATTAACCTGAGAGGGCTGGAAAAAGTGGTGGAAAAAATCTTGTCTTATAACGAACAAATGCAAAAACAGTTGAGAAAACAGAAATACTGCAATTGTACTTAAATTCATATCTAATATCAGCTAGATACTAATGCACTTCCAGCTCATTCCTTTATATCAAATATAGAAGCATTTTGTCTGAAGCTCTCAACAAAGACCAACATGCACTGAGAACACAGGAAAACATGAGCCTCACCAAGTACTCGAAGACGAGCGTGAGGCTCTTGTCAGTGTGAACGATGTCGTGTAGCGTCACAATGTTGGCGTGTTTGAGGTCCTTCAGTAACGACACTACAGATACACAGACAGACACATGATGCTTTTTAAAGACAAACAGGTTCTCAAACTGGTTCTTTTAACAGTGAATCATAAAGTGGGATGAGATACAGTTCAGCCTCCAATCTGTCATCACTATAAGAAAATCAGCCACTAATATGACAAACTTTTTATCGTAACATGAACCCGAGCCACGTCACTTTATTTTAAATAGCACATTTAAAAAACCAACAGGAGTTACTTTACAATCATGGCAGATGGATTAACAATAAAGGAGTAACTAGTACGAGGGTCAAGACCAGATCAATGCAATAAAAGATTTAAGAATAAACTGAATAAAACCAACAACTGATTGAAAGTGTAAAGCTGATTACCTTCTCTGATGGCAGTGCATGGCGCTCCCTCCTCGTGCTCCAACCTGATCTCCTTCAACGCCACCAGGTTCTCTGTGAGTTTACTGCGTCCTTTGAACACTGTGGCGTAGGTTCCCTAAGAGTAACACATAATGCTGGTTTAATATTACTGACTGAAGGAGAGTTATGATGCATACTTTGTGTTATTGGTGCATCAGGTGGGATTTCAGGCCCTTCTTACCTCTCCCAGCTTGTCCAGCTTAATGTACGTCTCCAACTTCCCAAAACCAATCTCCGACTGAGGGAATGGCAGAAAAAAAGTCAGGATTAAGGATAAATTACATGTCTAATCACTGACTGAGGATTTCATTATCTCTGACGTCCATCATGAATAAACGTCTACAAATATACTCAGAAATCATGGAGGGAAAAACGCTTTTCATGGTGCTGATTTGCCAAAATGTAAATAAATACAGGCTAAAAAAAAAGAACAGGGCTTGAGTTGTAGTCCACAGTGTAACTCACTGAATCCATAGAAACGTCTCACTTTACATCACCCAAAGCATTACGTGAACTGTAGTTGCAAAACTTAGAGCAGGATTATCCCCCAAAACAGACAAAGAACAGTAATAGGTGTGAAAAAAAATCCTTTAAGAGCAAAATTTTTCAACCATTTTTTGACGCGCTAAGGGTCAAAATCTCATGTTCTTATGAACTTTGTCTGAGGGGCCCCGAAGTCTCCATAGTAGCTGCTGGATATATCTGGAGCTGGAGAGAGAAATGCTAAATAAATCATCAATGGCTACTTTTAAAAAAAAACACTGCATCCCTCCATCCTTGTCAGCGGCAGTCTGCTACGACGCTGCAGAATCACACCACAGCTGAGTGTTGTCATCTCATTTGACGGGCTGAAGGTGGGAGGTGAGCGCTTGTGACTCCATATTAAACCTCCCTAGACTCACACTGGGCCAGTTACCATGGTAACAGTACAGCGAGAACTGCAAAGCAATAAAGGTGGCACACACAGAGATACACAAACACACTGACCAGCGAAGCTCGGCGGGAGCGTCGGCTGAGCGGCTGGTCGAACGGCGGGCTGCTGAGCTGCAGCTTCTCCAGGTAACCGTCAGGAATTCTGATGTCAGCGGGCAGCGACAGACGCTTGTTGAGGTCCTGCACCACCGGACACACACACACACACACATATACACACACACACACACACACACACACACACACACACACACACACAAAAACAGTAGGATTGAGAGTTGTTTTTAATATGACATTAAACTGACATTCCTGTAGTGAAGCTGAAGTTTGATTGGGTCCGGAGTTTTCTGCGTAAATGAAACTCTTTACAGCAAAGTCATGCCAGTCACACTTATTAAACTTTGATACAGACTGACAGTCAACAACATAATCTAATGGTTGTGAGCCACACTGTTGCTTTTCTACAATCTGCTTGCATCACAGCACATCGTGAGAAAATATACTGCTACATGTCTCGTGTCTATGTGCTACAGCATAAGACAATGTCGGCTACCGAGTCCACCCACCCACACAGACACACACAGACACACACAGACACACACACACACACACACACACACACACACATGGTGTCTAAAATAACTCGATCTGATGTCTTGCTGCTCCCACAGAGAGAAGACAGAGATCAGGTCGATCAGCATCTTCTGAAGGTTAAAATAAAAAGGTGGCAGCTCAACAGCAAAAACCTTTATCAGCCCACATCAGACTGTGATTATAAAAACTCACCTGCAAACGGAAAGCAAGAATAAAAACAAATCATGCGTATGTTTATTAATGTCAGTGTGTACACCACATCTCATTGAATCTATTCTAGGATCAAAATGAGACCACGTCTGATAGAGATGAACTTACATAATGTTGGGAAAAAACAAGAGCAAGTGGAGTAAAAATACAGCGAGAGAAGATGTCACATCTGCTATCATACATCGGCAAATACCATCAACTCATCCTCTTTCATTTCAGAACTGTAGTTCTTTGTCCTCTGCCAGCATTATGACAACTGAGAGTTCAAATAAAAGCTCTGAATTGGGTTAAATATATCACTGTCTGGATAAGGGGTGTGAAGACTTACATCATGTGACTGCTGCTTTTTCTCCCAGTTAATTCAGATTCCAACAGATTCTGTCTGTCCTCTCTGCATTTCATCTATTTTTACCGAACTTCCTTTATATTGTTTCCTTAATTTGTGAAGCACTTTTCACTTGGGTTTAAAATATTGTTTTATGTGTAAACACCAGCATTTAGAGCTGAAAGAATTAATTAATTGAAACCTTCTCAAACGTGAAGATCTGCTGCTGTTCTCCATTTTATATATTTAAAGGTAGATGTCCATGTGTTGTTTGATTATAAAGCAGGTCTAGGTTCTTCATTAATACTGTGAAAGTATCAAAGCCTCAGTCCACAGAGAAATGCACACAGCCTGTATTCAGAAACTGAGCCTTAAAACCAGCCGTCAGGACTTCTGTAACTTTGTGATGTCACACCAAGGCAGTCACCGCTCTCAGCCACGCCCCAAGCCCCGCCCACCTTGACCCACCATCCATCCTTGCAGGATTTGGTTTCTCTGAGTGTTTACCTGAAATCTGCGACCTGTTGTTACTAGAGCTCCAGTTACTAGAGAGGAGGTGTAAAATTACATTGAGGTAGTTTTTGGTTCTTAAAACCAAATGTAGAGATTTCTATTCACATAATAATCAAACAAGAAAACTGATTGTTTAGTATCATACTGCTGGTGCACTTGCACCATACCAGATATAATACTGTATAATACTGATGGAGTGGAAACAAAGTAAACTGAATGATTATAACACTGAGAACTGGTTGAAGGATTTCTTGGACTTGACAATGGAAAGGTATCAACCCTCTGAGACTTGAATAACAAACCTGATGGACCTGGAACATCGCAAGCTCCTATACACTGTATTAATCACCCTGAATTTATTATAACATGATTATTATTATTATTCTATTATGCGGCTGGAGAGTGGAGCAAGGGCCCGACTGAAAAACCGCAAAAAGGCAGCTTGTCTGTTAATATGAGTCAGTAACGGAAGAGAGCACTGTGGCCTCAACCTCTGACACAACACAGCTTCATTAAAACCTCCAGCAGCATCAAAGGGAATGTGTGTGTGTGTGTGTGTGTGTGTGTGTGTGTGTGTGTGTGTGTGTGTGTGTGGGTACCAGGTTAACCAATCACCACATCCTTGAGTTCCTTTTGTTTCATGCTCCAACAAATGAAATAAACACGAGGGAAACGAGGTGAAAGAAAACAAGTGAAAAATAGGTCTGTGTGTGTGTGTGTGTGTGTGTGTGTGTGTGTGTGTGTGTGGGTGTGTGTGTGTGTGTGTGTGTGTGTGTGTGTGTGTGAGAGAGAGATACAGCATCACTCAAGCATGTTGTCAAAGTGGTTTTATCATGTACATCCCCCTGCCAGCAGAGGGCAGGAGCCCTCTACCCTTTCAGAATAAAACTCGCCCAGTTTCCACGTTCATAAAGATGAATAGGATTTATTGGAGAAATGCTGATAAAAGGTCAATATTTGGTATAATTTTATTTGCAGAGCCACCTTTTCCATTTTATATAATCATAAGTGTGAAACAATACAACACAAGTCTGAGAAGTTAATGGAGGCTCAGAGCAAAAATGTCTTAAAAAATTGTGGCTGGAAAAAAACAACCCCATGATAATCATGCCGTCTTTTTCCATTTCATCCTGTTCATTTTTTATTTGCTGAGCTTGTGTCAGTGACTGTGTCTAGTTTACCCTGTGGGCCATAAAGCTAATTGATCATGTTGTACTCAGTAAACATTTAAAAAGCTTATTTCTTTCTTTCAGTTACAAAAGAGGAAACATGGAAAATAAAAGAGAATTTCCAGTTTCATTTGGGATTTTATTAAAGTACCACTGACGCACCGATGTTGGGTAGGTGTGTAAATGGCAAATGGATTTTCAAAAACATAACTTTATTACATACATCCTTAAAAGAGGAACAAAGGAGACTTGTATCCCAGCATGCTTTGCTGAGACAGTGAACATGTAGAGAATCACTAAGGTCACAGACGATCACACTGCACCTCTGTACCAGACTCACTGTGGTCCTCAGGGAGCAAGACTGCTATCAGTATCATGATGCTCAGACATCGAGAACCTATTAGGAGACCCTCCCCAGCCCCCTTCTCGACTTAGCTCTCCCATGAGGACGAGGAGGAGAAGAGGTTGAGGAGGTGGAGGGGGTGAATGCAGACTCGCTATGTCAGCCAATTTTTGCAATTGCTGTGCAGCGTGTGCATTTGTGAGCAAGTGTGCGCGCGAGCGTCTCACCTCCATGGAGATCCGCCGGTGGACTCGGTTCCTCAGACAGACGCCAGTTGGAGACTGAACCTCGTCTGATGATGTTCCTGATGCCTGGTCGCTCTCCCCGTCTGATCCCATCTTCAGGTTCTCATGTACAATGTCTGACAGGGAAGAAGATCATAAGTTTGATTTATATCACTGTCACACTTTATGTCCCTTATTTAGCATTTATAACTATCATATAAACAATTCATGAATGATTTAAAACACACTATAATATAACAGTAAGAAGAGATAAGGACGTCTGAAGTGTCTATTAATGAACAACATTTATCATCAACAACTATTACTTCTCCTATGGAACATTTTTTATATAATTATAACAATATTTTATTATGTCGTCCCTCATGTTCTGTTTGATAAATGACTAAAATGTCTGTTTTAGAGCTGGAATTGATCAACAATGTATGTGGTTAACATCTGAAGTCTAAGCTGAGCTGATTTTCTCTCAGGGAGGGTGAGGAGTCAATACTGGTGCGTCGCAAGTCAGAAACTTAAGTGAAACTTAACTTAAACATTTTTCACAGTGAACATTTGACCAGAAATAACTAATAACATTAACTGCTGAGTTTATTAGTTTGACCTGAACTCGTCTGAGAGCAATAAGGAGTCGAGGGTTTGTCGAGGTTTAACTTGTATTTTTATTCGCACATGAGAAGTTAATGAGAAACAGGCACGAAAAGAAAGACGCAGTTCATCTTCTTCGTTTGGGAATCACTGGTTTTAGTATCAGTAGAAGCTGCAGTGGTGTTGGATGTACTGGTGATGGTTTTGCACTAGTAGTTGTATTTAAATTAGGTCTGAATGATATACAAAAAAAACAAACATATTGCGATTATTTAGGCAGATATTGCCTCCTGTGATATGGATATTGCACTTGGCCATATTGTGATTTCAATAATATTTCAATTAATTGTTCAGATCTAATTTAAATAGAATATTTTGGAAATATTTTGTCAAATTTCAAGACTGAATAGAAACAAAAGCTCGTCTCTTCTGTTGGTAATCAAACTGCACATCAACCTGTGAAGGTACTTTGAAACAGTTGCACCTATATTTCTATAGACCTCTCCCTCTCTCTCTCTCGCTCTCTCTCTCTCCTCTCAGACCCTTGTAACCTTCGAGGCCAAAGATTAAACCCTCAAACCTGCACCACTTCCTCCTGGGCTGTAAAATGTAAAACTACCACTACTGCCCACAGCACAGCGGGAGAGAACACACTGATGTACAAACCACATGCCCACCTTCTCCTCCCAATACACACACACTCACACACACACACACACACACACACACACACACACACACAGTTAATGAGTAGCTATGGCTCAGCAGTTCTCTGTCATCAGTGTGTCAGCGCCTCCATGCAGTCTGTCATCAGATGTGGAAGCACAGAGCAGAGAAATCTGTGTTGATGGTGGACATGATATTCCTCTGAATATCACAGCAAAGATGATTATTTACTATTGTTAGTTTAGATTTTCGAAAACAATGATGCAGTTTTGTTCTCTTACTGTCTCCATTCACTTCATAAAGTGCCGCTTCATTAGTCTGTGGTGCAGCCACAACCCAAACACACACTCCGCTGCAGAATGTGGACGTGTCTGCGGCCATCTGTTTAAAAGGCAGAGTCTGTCCAGATTATAGGAAATACTGATCCACTTTTAGAAACTAACATCTTTTCAGGGTCTTCCTCTGGAGCTGGTCTGTCCTGTTGCACTTTGCATGTCAATGCTTTTCCACAGATGGTGTGAAGTTTCTCTGCTGCTTCTCCATCTGACTTTAGTTCAGTGGAAGAGCAGTTTTTTAAGTGTTACAGATCACACAACTCTACAGAGTTAGGGCAAAAACGTAAGAGGTTTTTGTTATAGGCATGCGACAGGAGAACGTGAGGGTGGTACAAAGAATTAATGAAGAAAAAAGGAAGGACAGAGAGGGAGGAACAGGAAATTGTTGCATGGTTTCCATATGGAGAGGGAGATGGATGACTTCTGTTCTTTCCTGTCCTCTCACTGCTCCATGTCGCTCCTCTATCTCAAACATCTTCCTCATTTCTTCATCTGCTTTTCTCACTTTTTCCCAGACAATCATCTACTTTCATCCATCTCCTGGTCCCTCTTCAGGAGGCTTCATCTATCAGCTGTGCAAACACGGTTTTGTGGATGCACACACTCGTTTCTATGCACACAACAAACACACCAACAAACACAGGTGTAATTGCAGGTAAACAAATTCCTAAGTTAAAAGACACATAAACCCTCTAAACTATCTCAACCACGTAACTGGTTCCAGTTGAGAACTGGTTTCAACTGGTTTGATCCATTGACATTATTTGCCTTTATGCTTAGTGCCATGTGTTTGGTGCTCTACGCAGCCGGTCAACAAGTGCTTCCCAGCCTCAGCAGAGCAATGAAGGTTTGCATTTTAGATGTGTCTGTCTTTTTTTTGTTGTATATTATTACAAAGCAGACCTAAAGAGTTAGACGGCACCCCCTCCTCGAGGGACTGAACAACTACAGAGCAGTTATTTATCCTGTTCAATGCTCAGAGACTCGTAATAAAATATGCGTTGTTGACACTGAAAACCTGTATAGGCCTACTTTTTTCCACACAGAAAATCTGCAGGAATCAATAAAGAAACCGATCGATAAGCAGAATTTATAATGGCATCGGTATCAATAAAATCTTACCAATTCCCCTCCCTAGTAACCATAACTGATTGTCAACTACCATTCCTGAAATGACACCATTAATGCCTCTGTTGGTCCTCTAGTACTGCATCACTGAGCACCTGATAAGAGATCCAGAGGATCTGTTGGTGACAGTCGACTGTCATCCATCTGCATTAATAATAAGGTATTATGTTTCGCATACAATTTTAATTGATTTAAAGCTACAGTGTTTTCATTTTTTCAGTTGAAATAAATCATATCTTAATGTGGAGAGGTGCTTCAAGTCTCATGCCAGTTGCTAGCTTGATTTCCTCAGCTTGCATCTAGTAGCTTTAAGTGTGTCAGGTGTAGCTGTTATAATGAAAGGTGACAATTAACAAGACAAGCGATGCAACCAGCTCTTTGAGGCACAACAGTGCTTTGAGCTAAATGCTAACTTTTGCCGATTAGGACTAAACACAAAGTATAGCTGATGTTCATGAGGGTTTCTTTATTTTTGCAGGTATTTGCTCATAAATGATCATTTAAAATTTTTACCAGATGACCAAATTCCATGGCAGCTCATCTGATTGATGTGGAGACTTTTTAATCTGAACTACAAATGTTAACCTCATGGTTGCATTTGAGAATAATTCAGGGGATCATTAAAACCAGTTGGATTCATCCTCTGGGGACCATGAACGTGTGGACTACATATCATGGCAATCCATCCAATTATTGTTGAAATATTTCAATCTTCACCACAATGCTGGACCAACAGACTGACAATGCCACCAATAAAGCCATGTCATGAACAACACTGAAGTGGCTCTGTGACCCATCTCGGTTCTCTGCACTGCAGCAGGCCTTTTCACAGCAGACATGTTGACCTGTCACAGTATGAAACGCACAAAAGCTGGCTCTTCTGTTGAGCCATGATGGTGTGACTGTGCGATAGCACACACAACACCAGGACCCTGAACGTAGATGAGGTTCATGTGTGATAACCGTCGCCACGGTGAGTTGGTCAGACACAGAGGAGGCAGAACTTCCTGTACCAGTTTATTGGCAGGTTTATGTGCGGGTGAGTTTGTGTGGCCTACAGGAAACAAACAGATGACACACTCTATACTATCAACATAACACTATATACTGTAACTGACCATGACAATAAAACTGCAAATTCAAGGTAGGTAAAAGCTATATATGTTATGGTAAAGCAAGGACTGATATATGAAACATAAATAAACACAGAATAACTTACTTTAAACATTCAATGTCCTAATCTCCTTCATTGAAAATATATGATAGGAATATATCTTTATGGCCTCTGTGGCTCACTCTAAGGTTGGAAGATTTCTCACTCAAGTTCCATGTTAATGACACAATGACATCAATTACCTACACTCCGTAGATAATCTTGAAGTAACAGCAAAGTATTTTTACTCTGTTTTGTTCCATACATAATGTTACAGAAACAATTATTGCAGCATATAGCTAATTTAGGCAGTAACTATGGAGAAATAAGTGCGACTGTCACAATAACATTCATGTTTAACCTTCTTGGCAGTATGGATTAATTGCAGAAGATGGCAATTAAACAGGTGTGCCAACAGGCAGAACGTAACATTCACCTGAAATGAACTTAACAAGCTGCTTCTAAATGATGGACTAACCTGGTAACATAATTATACACAAACACAACTTTAGGCAGCTACTGTAAAATATGCACTTACTTTTCATAATTCACACACACAGGTAATTCTCAGGAGTCAACTGCTTATTAAACTGGTAATTCAGCCTCCTACATCTGTTTCTTGCTCTAGTCTCAACAGGTCAGATTTAACAGTGTCCCCTGTGTAAAGGTTCAATAATGTGCATGTTCAATAAAAAACATCTTTCCTGTTCCAATGTACAAATTGTAAAGAGTTTGTTCTACCACTGCTGTGAACACGAGTCCTCAGGAGATTAAAATCTTACTATGACTTCTTCCAGAAAATTCTTCCCTTTAACTGCCACACTTTCCTCCTCCTAACCCAGTTACTGTCTCTCTATAAACACCTTACAAACATCAACTTCTTGCCCCACTTTCCATCTCAGCTACACTTCCAAATGATCTCTCTTCCCTTTTTCTGTCACTTCTCTGTCTCTCATTTACATGTTTCTTGCCTCACTTCAAAAACCTCATCATTTTTTTTTTCACTTCCCACTTTCCCCCCCTTTCACTCTACATCTTGTTGTCTCCGGTCGTTTTCTCTTTTCTGAGGTTTTCGTAGGCAGCGGCCCATCTGACTCTCTCTCTTCAACACATTCCTCCACTACCTGCGCTTTCCTTACTTCTCCAAAGCCTCCAGATGATCTCATCTGTCCTACTTTCTTTTCCGTTCAACAACCTTTTCCTTTCACATACCTCTCCATTATCTCTATCTGCTATTTTATATCTTCCCTCATCCACATCCAAGACAATATTTTCTTCACTTCACTTCCGTGTCCTTCTCTTTGAAACCCCAAAAGCTGATTTCTAATTTTCCTTCTACATTATTTTCCTTTTGATTTGAAACCTCTCTCATCATCTCTCGCCTCTCCTCTTCCTCCCTTGAGGCATTTCATTCTTTCTTTCCTGATCGTCTCCACGCATCCTCCCTCCACTTGTAAGTTTTTGTACCTGCTGAGACTTTACAATCTTTCTCTACTCATCACTTCCTCTCATCCTTCTCTCTGCTGTCTTTAGCAGCTTTGCTGATAAGCAAAAAGAGTGTTGCAGCAATATGTGCTACATCGATGTCCTACTTAAATGTCCTGTTTTAAGATCCATGTCCCTCTATCTAGGTCAGGGTCCCGTGCGAGGCTCAACAGGTCCTCTTGTGTATCACCCATCTACAAAATAGCTTGGCGAGCCAATCAGGGTCCAGATATTTACTGAATAATGAACATGTTATTGTTGCTAACAGGAACTCTACATGGCAAAACGTCTAACAACAGATTGTTCAAACAGCTGCCGGTTATTGCTGACGGCCATGTGGAGAAATATCAGTCAAACAATGTTTAACTATGTTTGTTTAACATTAAGGCAGCATCTGTCTGGTAGAGTGAGGCGTGAGTGATCATACAGGCAGTGATATTATTAATGAACCTGGAACAAATGCCTATATTTATCAGTTAATGTGAGAGAGTCTACAGCCATGCTAGCGGCTTCGTGAGGCTCTAACATCTAGATCTAATAATGATACTAATGCTAATGTTTAGCAGGTATAATATTTACCATGTTCCCCATCTTCACAAAGCAGAACGTACAACGAGACAGGATCCAGCGAAGTGAGAAAATGTCGCTAAACTGCACCTGATGAAAAGCTTTAACTGTAACTCTATACCTCCAGATCCTCCAAAATATATCTTTTTTTGACTAAATATTCAAAAAGTCTGGAGGCTGGTAGATCTTGATACCCACAACATGTTGTTCCCATGAATCATCACACACCCGATGGGCTGTCCCGACCCCCAGCTAGAAATCTGCTGCTGCTTTGAATCATCAGCATTCAAGCCCTGCAGATCAGACTCACTGCTCTGGATCGACTGTGATGAATCACGTCACAGAGGAAACTGTGTCATGTTTGACTGCATCCCCCATCCAGCTGCCTCTCGGGTGAAAGCAGCCCTGCTGAGGGCGAAGGGAGAGAAGCTGCCTCGCGGGAGGGACACCCAGTCACTCTGACCGAGAGCATGTTATAAGGAGGGGGGCGGAAATCTCAGGACCGTGACACGTTTCCTGTTTGTTTCCAGATGCCATCTGCTCTCCCCTCTACTCACTTCCTTCCGTTTGTGTGTGTTGTGCGTGTGAACATGTGCATGTATCTCACCCAGACGACTGCCATTGCGTGGCATTGCCATGAAGGACCCCAGGGTGCCGCCGATGACGCTGTGCGGCCGGCGGAGCGGGGGCTTCTTGAAGGAGCCGGTGTACTGGTGCAGGAAGGAGTGCATGCTGTGGGAGGTGGGGGGGCGGCCATTCCTCATGAAGGGCTCTGAAACGCAACAAAACAACAACTGGTGTAATTTCTGGTTTTCTAAAAAAATAAAAAAAAATCGGATGCCGCAACATAAATCTTCAAAAACCCACACACATAGGGCAGCAGTAAATATCTGCTCTTATCTTCAGTGTGTTCTTCACTTGTGGCCAAGCTTGGTTTAAACAAACATGACCTTATTTGACATTTAAGTCACAAACCAATACCAACCAAGAATACCAACTCATCATGTCCAAAATCGGAGCCAGGAGACTCAAAGAGATTTAAACATCCTCTGCCTGACAGATGAGGTCACACAGCACATGAAGGAAAAAGTCATTTGTATTACTGGAAAATGATGTTTCTCTCCTGATAAGCAACACATGAGGCTCATTCATGGGCCTCCATCAGCAGTAACATTATCAATCCTGTTCGGCAAGGAAACCCTGTCGGCAAATCTGTGTAGTCCAGCGCCACCCGTACAAAAAGTCCATAAATGACTCCACTCTGAACTGCAATAGACAGGTGTGTGAGCATATTGTGTTTTTTCCTTTCTACTTTTTTCGTTCTCAGTAAGGAGAGAGCGTAGGCGTCCGCCTAGACAAAAAGTGTTGCACAGAGCCTCTTTCTTCGCCGATGTCGTCACTGTGGCTCCTTTTCAGGCAACCAATCAGATGGGAGAGTTGTGGAACTCGTCACCCTGGTAACCAAGAAAATGGAGGAGAAACTTCTATTTTCCGAGCTGTAGGATTTGTCAGACAGAAACTATCACAACAGCGACACAGAAGCTCATCAGTGGGAGCAGAGCAGCCGGACACTGAATGTTGCTGGTGAGTGTTATGCTTTTATGGCCGCGCACGTTGTGAGGGACGAGGCGATGACACTGTTGTCTCGGATGGAAATTAAACTAATTATTAAACTGGGAGCTGACAGACGGTGCCGTGTTCCCTCATGTCAGCCTCACTCCTTTACATTATGCTGCCTTGAGGTGCTTGTCAAACATATCAGAATTACACGTTGAGCATTCAGGTGAAAATGTCAGGGCTTTTATGAGCACAAAGTATGGAAACATTTTCAGCAACTGACAGGAAAAATGATACAGTATTATTTATATCTCAGTTAAAGAGATATTGGTTCATTTATAACTAGAATTACTGCCTGGCCGTTTACTCCACCAACCAGCCAAGTTACAGGAAATATGGTCACAATCTCCCCTTCCTGAGTTACAGCATTGAATAATGGCCAGAAGTGTTTTTCAGAACATTATGATGTCACAGTGAAGTTGACCTTTGACCATTTGGATATAAAATGTCGTCACTTAATTTTATCCTTATAGCCTTTTGAGTTAAACTGTGTCATAATTGGCGTAAAAGTTCATGAGTTATGGCCAAAAATGTGTTTTGTGAGGTCACAGTCATCTTGACCTTTGACCTGTGACCTTGACCTTTGACCACCAAATCAGTTTATCCTTGAGTCCAAGTGAATGTTTGTGCCAGATGTAATGAAATTCCCTCTAGGCATTCCTGATATATTGCATTCACAAGAACGTAAGGCAACAGTGACCTTGAACTTTGACCTTTGACCACCAAAATCTAATCAGTTCATCCTTGAGTCCAAATGAATGTTTTTGCCAAATTTGAACAGCTCTTATGAAACAGGGCACAGCTGTGATGAGTCTGATTCAAACATGTAGCCACCTTGAGCAGGACACAGCTGTAGCATGGCTCGGTCTCAGTGTAAGAAAGCCACCACCAACAGCTCCACAGCTCACTCACATGTGATAGTATATGCAGCCTTCGTGCTAACTAAGCTACCCTGCTGCTGGCTGTAGCTTCACATCTGATGCACACATATAACAGTGGTCATGATTTTTTCAACTCAGCAAGAATGTGAATTTTCCGCAAATGTGGAAGTATTCCTTTAAATGGCTGAATGAGTCGTCTTCATCTGTCTTCTCTGCATCACTACGTAGCCGCATGATTATTTTCTGATGACCTGTGTCACTGCTGCCTGTTTGTAGCTTTTCCTGAGTCTCTGTGGATGTAGAGTGAAAAAGTCAAATGACTGAAATGCGAAACATACTGTAAAACATGGATGTGTGTCAGTTTATTCTGGCAGCTGTCAATCACAGGTGACAATCAATCACTTCCATATGTCTGTCACAACAGCAATTCACTGGAGACACACTGTACTGTGGTGCCAACACAGACACAATATTACATAACAGAGAGAAGTCAAGGGAAAGTGTGAAGGCTTGTTCTCTATATACTACCTTCTCTCTTACTGCTGTCTCTGTGTGTGTGTGTGTATGTGTGTGTGTGTGTGTGTGTGTATGTATGTGTGTGTGTGTGTATGTGTGTGTGTGTGTAAGATCAAGTATCTACCTTACTTCTGTTACATAACCTGATAGAGAGCTACTCACTGGAAGTCCATTACAGCACACAAGCTGAACCCTCTCTTCATCATCCCTGGTGCTTCATAATTTAAAAACCCCTGAGAGTTCTGTGTGTGTGTGTGTGTGTGTGTGTGTGTGTGTGTGAGAGCATGTGTGTGAGTGTGAGTGTGTGAGTGTGTGGTTTTCACCTTCCTGCTGACAGACATGTTCAGGAAGATATTGTAAAAAATCAGACCAATGGAATTTCCTTGTCCAGTTCAACTGTGTCTCAGATTCTTTCCAACATTTTAAGACTTTATTCACGAACTGAAGCTTCATTATGAGACAAATTTCACCCAGATTTATTCATTAACTGTAGCTCTATTATAAGATACATTAAAACTAATTGTTTCCACATTTTTTAGTAACTATAGCTTTTTTAGAAGAAATTTCTTGACAGATTTTACTCAAATTTTTGTATTAACTGTAGCTCCCCTATGGAGGAAATATCAGATTTTACCCAGTTTTGTTTTATTAATTAATGCTTTATTATAAGGTATTATATATAGTATATATTTTAATTAGTTAGTTTAGTTTTTCTTTCCCATATTCTTTTCATCTCTATGAATACAAGCAAAGGGTACTGGGTTTCCTGCTGCAGGACAATGCTGATAGTAAGTAATAAATACATAATAAATAAATGCAGTAAATTATAGTAAAAGAGGTCATTTTTATTCCAAACACAGCTCTGAAAATCTTCCAGTTACAGAAAATCAAGAGAAAATTTGGAACTGAGCTGCTGGTTATCCACTAATGTCCATTAATAAGAAATGGTCTTTTGAAATTTTCATTTCCACCAGTATTTATGAATTATTAATTTATCTTGTAAATTTACAGATTTGTTTCAACAACTAAACACTGAAAATACTGAACGGTAATGCTTCAACGTTTTAGTAAACTCTCACAGTTCTCAGCAGAAAGCTCAACCAAATACAAACACTGACCGTTGTCCTTAGTGCCGCCGTCCTCGATGGTCATCTGCTCGGCCAGTTCGGACAGGGACTCATCGATGGTCTGACTGGAGCGGAGTGTTAACGACAGACGCTTCTTAATCCTCTTCATCTTCTCCATAGCTGGGTGGTGCACAGCCTGCGGGACACACAGACACACACGGTCTACGTTAATACTGTCATAACAGAAAGACACACAAAAAGACAAATGCACTCCATATCAACAGGGCTGTTTTGTGTGTGTGTGTGTGTGTGTGTGTGTGTGTGTGTGTGTGTGTGTGTGTGTGCGTCAGTGTGTTTAGTCCAGGTATGAGTGATGTTATGGGGACCTAAATCTGTTGACATAGTCACTTCATGTCGTAAATCATTAAATTTGGAGGTGAGGACATGTTTTATGATCAGGGTTATGGTTGGACAAGTAGTAGTTATGGTTAAGGTTGTTGTATGGTAAGTGAGATAGAGTGTGTGTGTGTGTGTGTGTGTGTGTGTGTGTGTGCGTTGCGTGCACGTGTGTGCATACAGCGTGGGGGTTTCCAGAAGCCTCAACACAGCCCAAACTGTCTCTGCTCATGAATAACATAAAGCTGCTTTTAATCCAATATTCATTGACTCTGCAAACAGCACATGAATAAACCATGAACAAAGCATGAATAACGGATGAATATCACAGACTTAAACACAGCTGTTTTCACTTACACTCACATTCACACATTCATACGGAGAGAGATTAATGAGGAGAGTCAAATCAGTCAACAGAAAACACACACACACATGTCGACGAGCACATGCGTTCCAGACGAGTACATTTGTGTGGACGCAGCAGTCGTCCAGGTCACAGGAAACACCTTGCTCAATCTGCCTCAGGCCAGTCCCTGCTCATTGTGTTGCTGCGTTAACGCCCCATGCAAGTGTGTGTATGTGTGTGTACAAATGCTGTATGCATGTGTATGTGTGTGTGTGTGTGTGTGTGTGTGTGTGTGTGTGTGTGAGTGGAGGAAATGCAGTGAGGAAGCAGCAGCAGAAAGGCCCCACCCGTCTCTTCTGACCCTCAGCGCAAAACAAGCTGACCCCTGTCGTCACCATCCCTCCTCTCTCTTTACATCTCTCTCTCTCTCTCTCTCTCTCTCAAGGTCGTTAGCTCCCCTCATACTCATGAGACACCATCTGCCTGCTTGCTCATGCTCACACACACACACACACACACACACACCTTCAGCAATTCCTCATTCACGGCACTGCGTGGTGAGCATCACTTCATCAATCAGTGTTGGGGTGTGTCACCACAACCTCATACCAGCACAGCGACACAACCACAACCTGTTCATCAGATCCTGTACAACACAACACACACATTCAAGGAAACTACAAACATCTTTAGATTTGTGTGTGTGTGTGTGTGTGTGTGTGTGTGTGTGTGTGTGTGTGTGTGTGAGTGTGCGTGCGCGTGCGTGCGCATGTGTGGACATGACCTGCATTTCCTCTCAGCTGGCTGCAGTCGGTCTAATTAAAGCCCAACAGGCTGTCGGAAGAGGAGTTTATTAATTAAAAGATGTAATTTCATGAATCTAAATTGCTGTGAAGGCGTACTGTTTATCACAGGGTTATTACCTCTGAAAGACTTAGTAACTACAGCAGTCAGTCAAATATCAAATATATTGTAATATTTGTGCTGGACTATATCCAGATAAAAGATTTAAAAGGCAACCTTAGTATAACTGGAATAGAAAAATATTGGAAGATTGACAAATTTCTATCTTCTCACAGTATATATTATCAGTCTGCTTATAAACACTACAAACTATGACCTTAAAACTCACCACTGAGCTAAACAAAAACTATGGCTAAGACTTCCTGCAAGCCATTTCCATGACGACCTTTCTCTTCATTTATTAGTTTATTTAAAAATTTATCATTTCACTCTCCCAGTCTACAAAGTGCATGTGCTGTGCTGTACCGTAACCTGTGTGTGATTAGCCTACTTTTAGAGGGGAAGTGTGTCATGCTGGCCCTGGTGGCCCTATCAGCGGGAAGATTTGATGATGCCACACACACATACACACACACACACACACACACACACACACACACACACACACACACAAACACACACACACACACAAACACACACACACACACACACACACAAAGCTATCAGACAGTCTAGCGATGGAAAAAAAGACATAAAATTTCATCTAATGAGGCTAAATATCCAGATTGTAAAAATCCCAACACAAATATAAAATGACTTCATTGGAAAACACTCTCTGTCTCACACACACAGACACAGACACACACACACCAACACACACACACTGTATGTGAGATAAGCGCTCTTTGTCTCCCTTACAGAGGAGTGTAACAGAGCAGGGTTTTATCTCTGCAGCAAACCAAAACAAAGAGACTCATGTGACGTGTGTGTGTGTGTGAGTATGCGTTAGAATTTGAGTGTGTGTTGAGAGTGCAGCATCTGGCACGTATGAATGATGTGTGTGAGGGGGGGAATTCAACATGAAAGGCAGCACCAGCAATCTGCCAACAACAGAGAGACACAGAGAGAAGTCTCTCTCTCTTTTTCATCATCAGCATCTCCAGAAATTCACTTACACACACATTTTGACCCACATTCCCAACAACCCCCACTCCATCACTCCTCTGCTCCCTCCTGGATGCCTCCCAAGTGCATTGTGGGTAGTCTGGAGGAGGGAACTTCAAAGGGCAAGCGGTGGTGGTGGTGGGGGGGCAACAGGCGACAGGGCCTAATTACTGGGCTAATGATTTCACTCACACACCTCCGTTCTTGGTCTTCCTTCCTTTCACATTCCCTTTTCTACTTTTTCCCCTCCTCTCTTCATTCCCAACTTCTATATCAGAGTGAGGTAATGAGACGGAAAATGTGACTTCATATTCAATCTCAGAGATGTGGGTGAAAGTGTGAATGTGAAGAGGAGGAGGAAGAAGAAGAAGATGAAAACGAAGAGGGAGAGAAGGAATGGGAGAAAGAAAGTGAGTTTATTTCTGTGAGCGGAGCCATAATGGAGTCTTTGTGTTTGGTTAAGAGGCATGAAATCACCCGAGTGACTGCAGGCATGTACAGTGCTGCTGAGAGAGGTGGTGGTGGTCCCACTCCACATTCACTTTGGTTTCAGTAGCTACATTTTGTGTTTATGACAGATTTGGGAATTGAAAGCTTTAACTCTGCAGGTGACCAATCAAGTGCGAGTATTCCCCAAATCCAGCTGGTCCATAAAGTTTGTGTTCCCTTTGTAATTACCAAATTTAATTAGTTGTGAAGTAAGTGCTCTCCTCATTCAACCTCATCCAGCTGTGTTCCCAAAATCTCATTAAGTTTAGTCATCCTGAGTTTCCTAGTTGTTACTATGTTACCCACCCTGGAAGTGTAGAGGTTAAAGGTGCTGACCATGAACCATAATGACTCCAACTGTAACTAAATCCAACTGTGATGAATTTCATGTCCCAACCTGGTCATAAGTGTGTGTTCCCTAAATAAAACAAATAAGTGTGTGTGTTGCCCAAACTCCAGCAATCGTCTACTGTGTTCTTTAAGGTGAAGCTGGTCATCAGTGATGTGTTCAGTGTAGTTGTAAACAGATTTAAGTTCTGGTTGTACTAGCACGTACTTTTTGATGTTAAAGGTTCCCTGTAGAGTTTTTGACCACAGAGCCGATGGTTTCACACTGTTCCACTGATCTATAGGTGGCAGTAACACACCGAGATGCGCAGAAACGTGCCAGTAAAGGCAAGAAACAAGGATGAAACAATGTGTGTCATAAAAAAATCAGCTTTGCAAATGTGTTATGAGGAAGGAAATGCATTCAACTCGTTTGTTCATTTGCAAGGACACACAGAACATATTGTGGTGAGAGACACTGAATGTGAGCGCAGGTTTTGTTTGTGTACAAGAAAACTGACATGTATCAACCACTGGGGGCAGCAAACACACCTCATGTGGCTACACTGTCAGAAATGCAACAGAAGGGGAGCAACTCAAAGCAAACAGACAAACCGTAGACCAACAGGATTCAGAGCATCACATTATTTTCTATAATACCATGGTCATCAACAGTATCAGACTCAGTAACACTGAAGTCATTAAATAGTGTCTTCTGCACCGGCCTCTGCCTTTTGCATCATATGCAATATATGCATGCAATCTCTTGGATGTGGGTATACAATCTGTACACTGTGCGGGAACAATGAAAACTACAGAACATGCTCTGAATGACACTTTAACAAAATATAAAGTGTTAATTGATTAACTTCAGTGGTCTTGGTATGGAGATTTTGTTCCATTCAGGATGGGCCAGGCTAGTAGTTTTCCCCCCGTTTCCAGTCTTTAAGCTAAGCTAAGCTAAGCTAACTGTCTCCTGGCAGTAGCTTCAAATTTAGTTAACCAGATATGAAAGTGGTATCAATCTTCTCTTCTCACTCTCTGCAATAAAGTAAGTGCATTCGTAAAATGTCAAACCCCTCCATTAAAATCTTGAGGACTATAACTTCCTGGCTATGAAGGCATAGAGTGTGAGCATGTGCTCCCAAAATCTGTCTGAGCATTGAGTGTGTGTGTTCCCCAAATGTAATCCCTTATCAGCTGTTTGCTTCCTAGTTCAATGGGTCGACTGTGTTACCCAAATTGAAACAGTATTTGTTCCTTAAATCCATGATGTTTATACAAGAGGATTTGTTCAGTTCTTCAGTTTGGTTTATCATTATTCATCATTAGCGTTGAAATGTATCATAATTCAGAAATTGATATCTCTATCGTCAGGATCTCACTATAAATAAGTCACACACACAACCTTACGTCAAAAAATACCCATTTAATACTTAATACTGTCAGTTCCATAAACTTTTATAGAACTGACAGAATCGGAGCAAAAAGAAGTGGAGACAGGAACAGAGGGAGAGTTGAAGGGAAGGCTGAACAGTCTTCTCAAACGGAAAACAACAATTAACGTTGTTCAAACTGTTGACGCTCTCGTATGAGAATCCAAACCACTTTTAAAAGAGACTCTGAACTCTGTGTCGTCACTTTCCTTTTGGAGTGCGGACATGACAGAGCCAGACAGAGCCCAAAGGGAAAATGAGCTCACATGTCAAAGAGATCTATTTATCATTGCT